TCAAATCTTGCCTCTCCCGAGTGCTGTACCCTCACAGCTCTTCTGCTGTAAAGGGCCAACCACCAGCTTAGCCTCCGTTTAGATGATAGTGGAAGAGGCAGGGCAATATTCCACCTTCTCATCAGTAACTCAGGATAACAATTTTCCTATCTGAAACCCAGCTTTTCTTGTTGTCTCTAGGCCTGCCCACAACTGAGAGAGGAAGGAAGGAAGGAAAGAAAAGAAGGGGAAATGGAAGGGGAGGAAGAAGAGGCATTTAAGGTATCCCAAATAGCTATCACAAAATTTATGCACTTTACCTATTGAACAGCCCCCTCAGGCACTTGCTAAGAAGTATTCTTGGTTACTTTATAGCAGTTCAGAAAGGGTACAAAAACAGTTTGGTTGTCGGGCTTCCCAGTCCCCAGCTGATTAAAAACAATTAGAATAGAACCAGAGATTTTTAGAGCTTGAAGTGTTTAGAAATTATCTTGCCCAATCCATTGATTTTATAGTGGGAAAAAACCTAAGGCCCAGAGAGGTCAATTGATTTGATCACAAATCAGGTGAGCAGCAGACCCTGGCCTTGAACCTAGGTGTCCTGACTAGCTTCAGGGCTCTTTGCTTTACCCTGTGCTTGCTGCCGCATTGAAGCACAAGAGAGAGGCTGATGGAGGCGAGCACCCCAGGCTGCTGGTGGTGAGAGAAGAGGCAAAATACCAGAGGCAAGAACTCAGAAAGCCCTGTGGTCTGGGTGGATGAGAACGGGGGAGAGGAGCTGCCCGAGAGCCTTGGGGGTTCTCTTACTGTGTTGTGATGAGTAGCACAACCTGTTCTTGTTGTTCAACTGTTTTCTGGCACGTCTGACTCTTCAGGACCTCATTTGGGGTTTTCTTGGCAGAGCTCCTGGAGTGTTTTGCTATTTCCTTCTCCAGCTCATTTTACAGATGAGGAAACTGAGGCAGACAGGGTTCAGTGACTTGCCTAGAGTCACATGGTTAATAAGTCCTAAGGTCACATTTGAACTCAAGTTTCCCTGGAGCTCTTTCCACTGTGCCACCTAGCTGCCCCTGGCAGCATGGCTTACTTAGTGGATAGGGACCCACCTTGGAGTCAGGAAGATCTGATTTCAAGTCTTGCTTCTGATGCTGGCAGTATGACCCTGGGCCAGTCACTCCACCTCGCAGTGAAATTATTAAGTTTCAAGCAGGTTCTAACCTGCACCGGTAAAGGGAATTTCTTTGAACCAGTGAAATCACAAGTGAGGTCTAAAAAAAAAAAATAGTAATAATACTGTGTATCTGCACCCACCTTTACTGCGTTTGATCTGAGGCTACCTTCCATTTATATTGTATCTATCTTGCATGTTTCTGTGTTAGACTGTGGGCTCCTTAAGGTCAGGAACCATGTTTAATACTTTTCTTTGTAGCCCCACTGTGCACAGAGTAAGTGCTTAATACAGGTGCTTGTTGATTGACTACAACTTACTGGCTGTGTGACCTTGGGTCACAGTCCATTTACTGGACTTCCATTTCTTCATCTGTAAAATTAAAGTGTTGAATTAGAAGGCTGCTTCCAGCTCTGCATCGATGGACCTACGATTAAACTTTAAGCATTCAGGCTCCTCCCTGCCATGACTCCCAACCACCTGAAGGTCCAGACTTAGCTCATTCTGCTCCCATTCAGATATTTCAGAGTCTGTTCAAATTAAACCTCTTCTGACACTGAGGATACAAAGATGACAAATAATACATTCCTTGTCTTCAGGAGGCTTATAGTCTAATAGGGAGATAAGCCAGCCAGCTGTACAAAGATAGGACTGGACACAGTGCCTCTAAGGAAACTCCAGCTTTGAAGGCCCTGATATTTATACAGATCTCTATGATACAGCTCATTTTCCTGTTGTCACCTTGCCCTTCTCTCTCAGTCCTTTGTAACATGATTATCTGTTTGAGAGGGTGCTTAGAGATCAGCTAGTGCAGCCCTGTCCTTTTATGGCTGTCCTGCCTTCTCTGTTTGACTGTTAGCTCCTTCAAGGCAGAGAATGGGTCATTTTTTGTCTGGATGCCCTCAGTGGAAAGTCCAGGACCCAGTACAGAGGACATGCTTAGCAAATATTTGCTGGATTGAGTGACTTAAATTTCTTCAGAACTTGAAAGTTTGTGAACCACTTTGCTCACAACATCCCTGTGCGCGTTCTTGGCCCTAGAGAGGTGTCTGGCCTGTTAGCACAGCTTAGAAGTCTCAGGGGCAGGATTCAAACCCAAGACGTCTGATTTGAGGCCTGCTTCTCTTTTTCCCTCCAACCCCACTGAAGCTTGTGCTGTCAAACCTAATGAAGAGGGCGAAGGCAGGGAAAGAATCGAATTAAAAAGCTCAGCCCCGTGTGCTCAGGGAGCTCAGAGTCTGCAGGAAAGATGTGACTCCCACAATACAGAAAATACACAGGATGAGGCGGAAGGGGAGGCCAGCAGGAGCTGGACCCCTCAGCTCCTTTGAGGGCAGGGACTAGTTGGTTTTTTTCTCTATATCTCAAGCCCTTAGCCCAGTGATCGGCACATGGCCTATTTTAATAAATGCCTGTTAACTGATTAGTTATTCATCTCCCTGCTGTCCTTTATCTGCAGCATTGGGCCAAACTGCAGCTGGGCCAGGAAGGGTTACAAGCAGCCCAAGCTAGGAGGAGAGACACAGGTGCAGGCCTGCCTTGTCTCTGGGGCCTCTGGGATTAACCCTTGAGCTCTGCTCGGGCCAGGCCAGGACAGTTGTTTTCTCTTCATGGTGTAGAGGAAAAAACCCTGGATTTTGAACCAGAGAACCTAAGTCCCAGTTCTGACACCCTGGTCACTGTGTGACCTTGGATATGTCACTTTCCTGCTCTGGGCCTCATTTCTCCCCTTTGAAGGGAATGGCCTGGATGATCCCTGAGGTCCTTTGAGCCTTTGAATTTGAGGAAACAGAATTACTGTCATCTATTGCAATCTCAATCTTTTCCATGAAGGTCCCCCATGCTGATGCATCATTGTGCTGGAGGAAGGGACATGAGGGCAGGCAGGACCCACTGTACTGGAAAGGCAGTGTGGGCTCAGAATGTCTGTTGTGGGAGGCCCAGCCTGGCTAAGGACAGAGAGATGAGGCTCCTCTCCAGGGGCTGCAGTATAAGGAATGTTTCATCTTCTTACTGAGGTATGGGGTGG